TTCTCCTTTAAACCCATGCAGTCAGTTAGCTATGCCCAGATGTTAATAATAGTTCCTTTTTAAGCAATAGCTTAGCAAATGATGTATTAATCTTTATTCCAACATCTCTCAAAAAACACCAGAGATGATCACCCTGCCAACAATACTGTGAGTGATTCTGTTGGAAGAATATGCTTATTCAAAATACCTAGAGTGCAATCCTATACAAAATGCACTCATAAGCAAATCCCAGCATAGGATTGCATTGTCAGTTAATTGCATAAAAAAGCAACTATTTGATTCAGTGTCAATATCCTGGCCTCTCATTACAATGATCCTACAATTGCACAAATTAAATTGATTCCTCAGTGAATATGAGAAACCCTGTATCTTCTAGACTTAAAATCTTAAGTAGGCACAAATCTGTTTCAAATGCTTTGAGTGCCTTGACACAGAAACACCACACTCCTTCACAGCAAATTACCTTTCAATCTTCAAAGTACAGCTGCCTGAATGAGATTTCTGTTGTTTAAATATTTAAATGTAACAATATTATTAAAAAATATTAGTAAAATAGAAATGTATATTAGCAATTTTATTAACAAGCATTCTCTACATTTATTGATGGAAAATGTGAAGAGACCAGATATTGGAAATATAGTCTTGAGTCCTGTTGCCCTGTTTAAATTTTGTAATTGCTTGGAATTAAAAAAATGAGCACTTTGATTTATTTTGATTGCTATTTTTGCAGCACAACAGGTCTCAGAACTACAGTTCCATTATCCAGTCTCTTCATATTGCTCAATACTTAGAGTTGAATATCCCCTCATGGTTGCAGCAAATTGGCGAAATTAGTTGGAATGAGCTGATCTTCCCCAAACTAATCAGCGTTAAAAAGACCTGGAAAGCCAATTCATATTTTTAAATTCTGGAAAAATGTTTACCTGAAAGTTGTGACTTCCACTGGCCTTCCATATTTTTCATGGTGCAGCTAAGTTCAGCTTCCATTTCCTTTTCGAATTCATCATCACTAGAAGATTCACTTTCTCCTGTGAGACATTCCCGTATCAGTTTACGCTTCTGCTCTGGGGTACCATATAAGAGCACATCCACTTCATCTTCAGAACTACATGGTGTAGATGATGAGATATTAGAGATCATTATTTCAGCATGAATATCACACAGGTAGTCCTTGTTTAACATTACTTAAAGAAGATATTTCTAAGTAGTTTGTAATTAGCAGCTGGCTAGAAGCACCAGCTAGCCGGAGAAAATGTGAGTTTAACAGTTCACCTCACCTCAGAGAGATAATTATTTGAAGGACATTTATAAAAAGCAACTTTCTAAGTTAGGGGTGTCAAACTGGCAGCCCATGGGCTGAATGCGTCACATGCAGGCCATGCCCACCCTGGCTCCACAAAGGCAAAAAATACGATACGTAATACCACATGACATGATCGAGTTTGACACCCGTGCTCTAAGTGAATTTATGTCTGCCCTTTCACAACAGCATTCTATTTTGATCTATATATCACTAAAATTCTCATTGTCATGACCTTTAACTGTACTGTACATAATATAGCAACAATTTTTAAACCAAGGTACCTCAAATGGGCTAATTTTCAGAATATGTCCAAAATCCAGGATTGATTATTATAGAATTTGTGAACGATATCCCTGCTTCAGTGCTACAGGATGCTATTGCAGTCACATGATCTTCATTTTTAATGTTCCGTGACAGTTTCCCAGACAGTCTCCCATCCCTCCCTCACCCAGCAGCAGCCATTCATTCACCTGCCTGCTGGGAAGGGATAAACAGAAAGGGAGGGAGGAAGCCCAAAGTTGCTCTTGCTCCCACTGCTTTACTGCCCACTCTGGTCATTCTGTTTCTCTGTTCAGGTAAGGAAATATTTCTGAAGCAATGACCCAACTGAGCACAGGTTGCCTACTATGGGATAATACTCAAATACATTACTAAGTAACATATTACTGTGCAAAACAGAACAGAGGCAGCTTGGTGATTCCTTAGTTAAAAATAAGCAAGAGCGATTCTCAAAATCAAAATTTACGAAGCCCTTTAAGATATAACATCGAAAAGAAAAACGTAAAGATCTCAAAGGGATTTTTTGCAAAATGTAGAAAGCGGCAGATTGCAACACACAGCTGTTTCACATGATCTCAGAAAAGTAACTAAAGATCTCTCGACAGTAACTAATTAAGAGAGATCTCCTCGTTTTGCCTTCGGCTGACGATCGCGAAACATCCCAACCCCACACAGATTTAAGAAAACGCAAAGATATCGTCGGCTGCCTTCCCAAACCCAAAAGACCTGCTCTGCGCTGGATCTTCGTCGCTGGGCTCTTCAATCACATAAGGATCATCTTCTTCCCGCAGAGAACTCATACCGGCCACTTCGTTGTAAACAATCCTTGTCAATTTGTTCCTCCAACTAGCACAAAACGCCTTTTCCGTCACTTCCTCTTCCGCTAAGCCTGGCGTTGGTCCCATCAGTTTCTGAGTCCGCAGAGAAATCCGGAAAGCGTTTAGTTCCGGTTTCAAGCTTCATGCGCTGGTATGTGCTTCTCTGCGCCTACATCTAGTACTCACTCGGATTTGCAGTCCAAAATCCCTGATCTTGGAAAAACACCGGGGAAAGGATAAAGCAGCCAATTAAAGCGACGCGAATCTTCCAAAACGCCCAATCTGCCTTCGCTCGCAAGACAAAAACTCCTCAGGCTTGCAGAGGGGAAAGGCTGAAAAACGCCTGGGGACAGGAAGAGACTCTGTCCACTATTAAAATCTGGAATGGGATCAGACTGTGTCTGAACAGGGGAAGCTTCCCATTTATAAAAAGAAAAAAAGTTTTGGATTCACAATAGGAACCCAGGGAGTTTTTTCTACGTCGCCTGATATGAGTTTGCCTATTAAGACTTACAATTCAGGATATCGATGCTGGTAGGATTTCTTTAACTCTTTCGCTACGGAGTAATCAGTCATATTTTAATTTTAAATTGTATGCATTTTTCCTTAATAAATATCACTAATGTTTCAGAATATTCTAGCCTCTTTATTCTTCTATCTACTAGTTAAGATGCTATAACACAGTGGTTCTCAACGTGTGGGTCAGGACCCCATTTGGGGTCGAACGACTATTTCACGGGGGTCGCCAAACAACGCAGTCCGCCATTTTCCCCCCCTTTTCCTTAGCTGTGCTACTCCCTTTTATTGTACTGGCTTTTGAAAGCCAATAGAATAGACTCTCTTGAATAGAGTCTAATTCTATTGGCTTTCAAAAGCCAATAGGAATTGTCCAGGCTGTCTCTGCCCTGCTGAGCCTGTCAAAAGTCCCATTCTGCAAACGGTGCTGCACCAGTTGATTAGTCCTCGACTTACGACCGGTTGGGGGTCGCAGCATTAAAAAGGTTGAGAACCACAGCTATAACACAACAGCACATAAGATGTGGTTCACATATCACACTATACCAGTGTTTCCCAAGCTCAGCATTTTAAAGATTTATGCAACTCCCGGATTTTCCACCTTTTTCTAATTATTTAATTGGATATAGCAGGGTGCTGGTTAGTCACAGTGTTCTACATAGGGCTTTTCAACCGCTGGTACTTTAGCATCTGGCAGGTGGTAGGCAACCCCTAACCAAGTGTAGCGGGGGAGGCAACCAGCTAAAACCGCATAGGCCTGGAGATCAGCTGGAGCTGCAGGGCTCGGCAGAAGCCCCAGGATCTGCATGCGTGGCTGTAGGCTGATTGGAGCTTCCGGCACACCCAGAAGAGAAGAGGGCAAAGAGAGGAGAAGCTATAAAAGAGCAGGTTTTGAATGGAGAGGGAGAGGGGAAAAAAAACACATGGAGAAAGAATAGAAAAGGTTTTTGTTAGCAAAGCAGTGAGGAGAGAGCAAGCGAGAGGGGTCTTTCCAGGCCACGGAGGAGTGAGTGAGCAAGCGACCTTTGAAAGCGACAGCAGTGAGAGAGAGCAAGTGGTGTTTGGAAGCGACGGAGCAGTGAGTGAGTGAGCAAGCCAGAGGCCTTAGAAAGAGACGGAGCGGAGGCGGAAATAATGATTTAAAGTGGTTCACAGAGTAGCAATGAACTACTCTACATAGTGATCAGCCTTTACCTCAAATAGTATACAGTTCTGGACACCACACTTACAAAAGTCAGAAAAATTGGAACAGGCTCAGAATACAAGATGTTCAATGGACCAGAAATTATGCCATATGAAGAAAGTGAAGTAACTAGGAAATGTTTAACCTTAAGAAACAATTGAGAGAGGAGATGACAGACGTCAAGATCTGTATTCCAAGGTATAAAATACAGAATAAGCAATTTAAATGGTAGAAAGGCACATTCTAATTGAATGTTAGAAAAAATTCTAACAAAACAGATTGACAGAGAAATTAATTACCCAGTAATTAGAGCCCAGTTGGTGGGCTCTATTTCATTGAATATATTCAAGTGGCAACTAAGAGATCAAAGGCCTGGAGACTAAAACATATGAAGAATGGTTGCAGGATTTGGGTTTGGCTAGTCTAAAGAAAAGAAGAAATGGGGGTGACAAGATAGCAGTATTCCAGTATTTGAGGGGCTGCCACAAAGATGAGGGCATCAAACTATTCTCCAGAGGGCAGGACAAGAAACAATGGTTGGAAACTGATCAAAGAGAGAAGCAACCTGGAATTAAGGATAAACTTCCTAACAATTAACCAGTGGAAGTTTACTTTCAGAAATCGTGGATGTTCCATCACTGGAGGTTTTTT